GGGGGTCACCTGGAAGCGGAGGGGATGGGGGTGGCGATGCAGGGGGTGGCAAAGGAATCCCGCCTATGGGGGAGAGAGGGTCTCACGGCCGCAACACGACACCGGGAGGCAGCGCCAGGGTGGCGGGTTTCGCCGTCGACCGGACTCCGTCGACAGGCACCCGGCCCGAGCACACGACACACTCCGCCGACCCCCAGACTTCGTCCGTGGGCTCAGCGAGGGACACGTTGGCAGCCTTGGTTGCTCTGGGCATTCGCTCGGCCGGAAAGCTGAAGTCTGCCGGGATCCGAACTACGTCGGGTGAGGAGCCGCCAGAGCGGTCCGGAATGCGAAGCTGCTCGGGGTCGGGGGATCCAAGCACGGATTGAGAAATTCGCAGCATTGCGACGCGGGACGGAGACGTCGGAACGGTGTCGCCTGCGCGGGAGCGACGGCCGCAAGGATTGCAGCGGGAGGCTGCAAGTCCAGGGTCCGGCGACACGGAGACCACGAAGTCCGCCAAGATCCGAACTTCTTCGGGCGGGGTTTGTCGGCCAGGGATTGTCGTGCCGTTGAGAGGGGCAGCGTGCACGGGGATGAAAGGGCGGTCCTCGCGATTCGGCACGGGTACCGCGGAAGGGGACGAGTTTCGTGGGAGGGACGTAGGGGAGGAAACGGAGGAACAGAAGGGAGCGCAAGAAGGGGAGGAAGAAGGGGAAGAAGAGGTGGAAGGGGAGGAAGCGGGAGAAACGGAGCTAATTGATTTGTTTGAAGGAAGGGAGAAGACGAAGTGGAACACAGTGAGGACGATGCCAGATCTAGAGAGTCGTCTGACGAGTTCGGACAACTGTACGGAGAGCATCACGAGGATGATGTCGACGACGATGCCACGGCAAAAGAGATGGAGACACAAGTGGTCAGCAGCCTTTCCGCAGAGCCTGAAGATTATGCGGTCCGGCCACTGACGTCTGTTGTCGACTTGCAACACCGCTTCGACGAGGCTTCCGTCGCTATCAGCCCGTCTAAAACAAGTCGGCGTATAAGCATCGACGAAGTTATGGACGGTATCCTCGGCGACCACAACGTGTCTGCCCATCCGTCCGCAACTGCCAACGTCGCATCTTCAGTGGCAGCTGCCCTCGCTTCGTCGCCGCCAAAGTCTCTGGTGCTGCAGGCCACCCTTGCCGCCGAAGGGGAAGGCGAGTGAGGTGGAGGACAGCATTTGACGTCCCCAAAAAAATCGAGGTTCGGCGGTCAGGCTCTCGACGTGCTCGCTTTGCCTGCGCCAAATTCACCATCGAAGGAGCGGAGAGAGAAACAGACTGGTAAGCCGTGAAGAACGTCTGCGCATCCGGATGTCGCCGGATTGCAGTCACGCTATACACACGACGACTGTCCACACTGTCTATGCATACGGGAAGTTCCGGATGTCGGCATGCTACAGCCAGCAGCCCTTCCTACTCCACCTCGTCGGCCTATCTGTGACTCGGCCGGGTTGCTAGTCGAGGGCGGCGAAAACTTCGTCCAAAACCTTACACTCCATCCAAGGAAGGATCTGCCCCGGCTGAGGAAGTGGCCAAGGTGCTAAGAAAGTGGCCAAGTACATGGACTGATAGTTTTCCCTTCTCGGGAATAGTGCCGGTTTTAGTCCGCCGGGATCCGAACTTCCTTTGCCGATGCGTGATGTGGTCAGTCTCAGTGGGGCTGGTGTGTTCAAAAGTCCGCGGCAGTCCGAACTTTCGGGGATTGCTGGCCATCGGCTTCTGTGAGTTGTGGTGGTTTTCCTTTGCGAAGTGCGGGGGGTGATAAGCTCGAATGTTGCAGCCATTTTGTTTTTCAGTCGCACAACCGCACCTGGGTGCACATGACCACACGAGATCAAGGTCCTGTGGTCGGAGAGGTCCTGCTTGACTGTAGGCCAAGGTGCTAAGGAAGTGGCCAAGTACATGGAGTGACAGTTTTCCCTTCTCGGGAATAGTGCCGGTTTTAGTCCGCCGGGATCCGAACTTCCTTTGTCGATGCATGATGTGGTCCGTCTCAGTAGGGTTGGTGTGTTCAAAAGTCCGCCGTAGTCCGAACTTCGCGGATTGTTGGCCTCCGGCTTCTATGAGTTGTGGTGGTTTTCCTTTGCGAAGTGCGGGGGTGATAAACTCGGATGTTGCAGTCATTTTGTTTTCCAGTCGCACAACCGCACCTGGGTGCACATGACCACACGAGATCAGGGTCCTGTGGTCGGAGAGGTCCTGCTTGACTGTTGCGTCTGTACGAATGTATGGTTCTCATTTTTCGTTTTGTCTTTCTTCTGTTGTACAGGGGTGGTGTCGTCTCGAACACGGAGGTCCTCCAAATATCCAGAGCACATATTGCAGAAAGTCCCCGGGTTGAGTAAAAAACACAAGGATATGTTAAAGGCATCAGGGGTTGATGTCGAGATCGGGAAGAAGGAGTACACCGTTGCCATTGAGGAATGTTTTTCCCTTCTTGCCCCAGAGAAAGGGACATATCCACGATCTGTGAGTAGGGGTCAGGCCATGTATGAGAAGTACTTAGCAACGCGTCATGCACCGGGGGACAATGTCTAGAACTCCGTTTCTCACTACCCCACGTGTCCTTTGCTCGTTGTTGTGCAGTGCGGGCAACAAGTGCAGCACGCGGGAAAAGTTTCGCTGCGACGATTGCGCCTCTGAGCTTGCGGGTTTTGGATGACATTGTACGAGGCTCGGTGCCATCTAACACTATTCTCTCTATACTGGGCGATGGTCAATTTCGGATTGCAGCAAAAGATCTCCTCACCCTCTTGCATGTCAACGGCAGGGTGAATGATGAGGTGGTCAATTTCTATATGGCGTTGTTGGGGTTGACTGCATGTGGGTCACGTGACATCTCTTCAGGCCTTCAAGTCTTCAGCTTTAATTCGTTTTTCTTCAGTAAACTGCGACTTCAAGGACACGGTGGGGTGCAGAGGTGGGCTAAAAACGTAGATTTGCTTCGTTACGATATTATCTTCGTTCCTGTCCACAAAGATGATGATCACTGGATCCTCGTTTCCGTCAACATGAGAGATGATGTTCTCGAAATTTTTGATTCTTTTCCTCGCATTGTAGCTGATTCTAGTTGTTACCTTAGTGTTTTTGGGTTGATTGTGCAGTATTTGGAACGTCAAACATCACATAGGCGGTCAGGTAGGAATTGGAAGTCCATGGTGGGAAATGTTGTGGTGGATGGAGTTCCGAGACAAGTGGATGGAGCAAGCTGTGGTGTGTTCATGTTGATGTATGCGACGTTGTTGCAACATGGAGATCGACCGTTTTTCCGGTTCTCTTGTAAAGATATTCCGCTTCTTAGACGACAATTAGCATCATGTGTCTTAGAACATCGTTGTCTTTGATGGATTTGATTGACTTTGAAAGTTTTTTTTAAGATGTTTCATTCGTTGATCGTTAAATTTCGTAAATCGAGACATTATTCAACTGTCCTTCTGCCAGAGGCATTGCTTTCTTTTATCGTTCCGAGTTTGCATTATCTACGRYAAGYTCAATGCATGTCYTGCGTCATGTATGRGYTTTGTAATCTATRYCACGTAATGTTCCATGTTYCGAATTCTGTTCAAGTTGRAGTATTKTGTTCYATGTTTCGAATTYTGTTCAACTGGAAGTGTAAACATGATTGTGAAACTGGTTGGTGGATGAATGAGAAATCTCATCTTATGTGAAATTGGTCAGTGGATGCCCAAACCTTCTTTGCATGACCATTTGAAATGCGGATATTCATCGTGATGGAACACAATTTAATATAATTCAATCTAATTACATTGCTAATTTTGCTTACAAAAGTTCAACAACTATGGATGTCAACAAACTTTCGCATTTGGGGCAACAGGGCGGGCATGCCCATGTACAAACACTGCAGTCAAAAATGAATTCGTAAGAAAGAGGACAGTGTCACAATATAGTTGCTGTATCTTTCATCACATTTATGAAATTGAAGTTTGACAAGTTAGGATCACGGCACAGTTCCGCACAGGGTTCCCTTTGGCGTGCCAATCGTTGTTCGTTTATGAAGTTTGACTAGTATGGATCCCAACACATTTCCCCACGGGATCACCAAGATGTTTTTGATGTTCAACAAGTAAGGATCCCAACACACTTCCACATTTGGGATTTCATTTATGAAGTTTCACAAGTATGGATCTCAGCACGCTTCTGCATGTGGTTAACCCCTGTATGGGCATGCCTACGTTGCTTAGGCTGCAGCCAAAAATTAATTCGTTAGAAAGAGGACACAGTATAATGTCTTATTTTAACGAACAACGTGTTGAAATTCATCGTCTATTGATCCCCATTCTACGCGGCTCAGCCCATCGGCTCGATTCTTTTCAGTAGGTATCTTCTCCAATACAAAATCATACGTCCATATGTGAGTTATCCACCTACTGACCGTAGCATCTACTTGCTGATGCCTCTTAACAACTCCGATTACCGCTGTGGAATCCGTTTTTAGAATGAATCTCCTCCCCATAACATAGTGTCTAAACACCCTGAGACAGTGCAGGATCGCCAGGAGTTCCTTCCTGAACTGAATATAGCCTCTCTCTACCGAATTAAGGGTGCGGCTCTCAAATCTAAGTGGTTTTTCTTTACCATTCTCATCTCGTTGCACGAGCACTCCTCCTAATGATATCGGGTCGCCGTCGGCTTCGATGATGAAGGGCCTCTCCTTTTCATCGTCGAAGTAGGGTACTTCTAATACGACCCCGCCATCTCTTAGCTTATCTTGAAGTACCCGCGCAACCTTCTCTCTTTGGTCAAACTACTCTAAGCTAGCTCCTTGTCGCACCATTTCTCTAAGGGGCTCGACTATCTTGGCAAACCGGGGGATGAAGATCCGCCAGAAGCTACAGACCCCTAGGAAGCTCCTTACTTCCCCAACCGTTTTTAGAGGCATAGGCCAGTTCAGGAGTTTATCCATTTTCTTTGGATCAGGGCTTCTTCCTTCCAAAAAGCACCTAAAACCCAAGATCGTTACCTCCCTTTGGAACAGTAGTGATTTTGGCCCGCGGGCTGTTAGGTTGTATTTAGCCAGCCTTTCTAGTACTTTCGCTATTCCCTGCACATGTTTCCATACGAACTGCCTGACTCGACCATTCACTAAAGTCTCATCCTTTTCCTTTGGTCCTTTAACTAGATTGTCGTCAATGTATGAAAACGTAACCTCTGGGCATATGACCTCTATGATCTTCAGCATGTCTCGCTGAACGACCGCGACCCTATTCGTCCACCCTTGAGGCACCACACACATTTGTATGAGGCCTCTAGGTGTATGCATGGCGGTCATAGGTCGACTAGCAGGATCTATCGGGAACTGGTCATAGCCAGAGTATAAGTCTATTAGGGAGTATATGCTCCTTCCGGCAAAAGACTCGGCCAACAGATCCGCGTTGGGTAAGCTACCTGCATCGCGAACAATTACCGAATTCAACTTTTGCAAGTTCTGTATCCAGCGCAGGCCACCACCTGGCTTCCAAAAGCAAAAATAGTGATTGGCGTAAGCTCCATCAGCTGGTTCCGCAACGTTGGAGGCGATCTTCTGGTTTATGTACTCCATTACCTCTTTTTCTTCCTTTTGGGCATATTTCGTGGGTCTATCATTTCAAGGTGTGTGAGGAACGGTCCAAATCTTGACAATCTTCATCATGTCAATGTCCAGTCGTCGTTAAAGGAAAAGATACCATTGTACTTCTGACATAATTCATATATGAAATCCCTCTCAGCCGCCAGAAGGAAGTCATCGGCTCTTACCTTCATTATCTTGAACCTCTCTGGGGTAATTCTCCCTCCTTTTAATGCAGTCTCTCTTAATTTTTTCATTATCTTTATCTCCTTCTCTAATGCCTCATTGTAATCTTTCTCTATCAAAACTGTCACCGGATTCTTCTTAACGCCCTTGCGCTTATACTTCCTCTTAGATGCGGTGACTATTTTCCTAAAAAAAA